CTTTTCGTAAAGTGGTGACTGTCCCCTTTCGAATGAGGGGGGTTTGGAGGGCCAAGCCCCCTCCCCCTCCGCCTCCCACCCGAAAAACGATGGGCCAATAACTAAACATTTCCCCCAATATGTATGTTAATAAAACACAAATCAGTTTTTGATCAGCTAAATAAATATTCTAGCCGAAAGATATATAATCTTTATTAAATTATTCGTCATATTTAGGGGCTGGGGATTTAATGTTCCTGTAATCCCTAATCGGTGAATAGAACTGAAATTAAGCTGTAGTTAGAATAGCTTTTTTCAGTGGACCAACTTTACCTTGTATTGTTTGTCTTTGTATTCTTGCCAAGGTTCAGGATTCGATGAACGATTCCATGTTACATCAGGGTTTCGTGTAGCTAAGCGCAAAGTATAGTAAACTGCACCGAGCGCTCCAGCTCCAACACATACATATAATGGAATTAACTAAAGTCACATTAATTTGAAAAATGAAGTACGCAACAATAGTTAACTTACGGCTGGATTTTTTTTTTAAACTTTGAAGACCCAATCCTTGCATTTTAAGATATTTCTTAGACCACTATGCTGTGGAATTAACAAACAATTCAATCGCAATCGACACAAACGAATATTTGTTGCGCAATATACAGCGATGTGGAAATTAGGATTAAGATACTCGATACTAGGAATAGAAAAACGAATTTCGATACGTTACGATACCATATCGATACTTTTGGCATTCGATACCGATATTTTCTACTCGATAGTTTTAAAACGATATTTTTGGAATCGAATACCAGAACCCTAGTATCGCATCGAATGTCATAAACTCACATAACAAGAATATTGGCGCGTATTCATAGTCCAATAACTAACAGGTCTATTCTGCATGTTACCGATGATTTTGTAACCGAAAAATTTTATTACCAAAAAATGTTACCAGTTCTTGTCACCGCGATTCCAGGTACGTTGGTAACGCAGTTAAGATATTCAGCAATTCAGCTATGAAGAATTGTGCAAATTCTGGCATTGCACATTTCACGGGCCAGCTTATGAGATGGTAACAAAATTTACCGGTTACAAGAGTACACAGAATGCGAAAAGGGTTTACAAAATGACAGGAACTTTATTTACCGGTTATAAACTTTTTATTACCAGCGCAGAAGAGACCTGTAAGTCGAAACTAACAAAGTTGCAACTTAAATTTAAGTACCAACTTAAAATTTACTTCTATTCATAGTCGCATTTCAGACTTCTACTAACTAGTTTCGACTTAGTTCACGATATAGCAAAACAAGTGTGAAAATGTATCGATTTTTCTTTATGATATTTTGGAAAAATTACATTTTTATTGAATAATGTCAAGTTTGATCATCCGTTTATGTAATGTTTATATTCATTCTATGATTATGCAAAAGAATAAGGTATCATTTTCTTGTTAATTGTGTGAAATAGCCAGAACAACGGCAGTGATGTGAATGCATCGAAACCGTCGATAGTGTAGTGGTAGTGATAACCAGACATTGAACAACCGGCCCTAAAAGAACTAGCGTGAAACTGACTAATTTTTTTGAGAATTTATCTAAATTATTCCAATTATAAAATTGTGATGTAGCTTTATTCGAATTGTAATACGCATTTGATTTCATCTTTCGATTAAAATGGATCGATCTTTGTAAATTTTAATTGGAGATTATTCAATATTATCAAAACCACCCTCCACCAACTTTATTTTTACGGCGCGTATTCATAGTCCAGCAACTAAGGGCCAGTTGTTCAATGTCTGGTTATCTCTACTTGCCGGTTAAACATCATTATCGACGTTTTCGACATCATGCATATAACATGTGATCGGTAAAGCAGTCGTTGTATTTAACCAGAGCTTCTGCCTCAGATTAGTGCTAATCAGACATTGAACAACCGGCCCTTAGTCGAAACTAACAAAGTGGCAACTTAGGGCCGGTTGTTCAATGTCTGATTTGCACAAATCAGAGGTAGAAGCTCCGGTTAAATACAACGACTGCTTTATCGATCACATGCTATAAGCATGGTGTCAAAAACGTCGATAATGATGTTTAACCGGCAAGTAGTGATAACCAGACATTGAACAACCGGCCCTTAAATTTAAGTACCAACTTAGAATTTACCTCTATTCACAGTCGCATTTCAGACTTCTACTAAGTAGTTTCGACTTAGTTTACGATAGAGCAAAACGAGTGTGAAAATATATCTATTTTTCTTTACGATATATTAGAAAAATTACATTTTTATTAAATAATGTAAAATTTGATCATCCGCTTATGTAATTTTTATTTTCATGGCATGATTATGCAAAAGAATAAGATATCATTTTCTTGTTAATTTGGGGTGTTCACAGTTCGTTCCAAATAGTGTCTCAAAATGTAGACGTCTACATTTTAAGACGTTTTCCAACCGTAAAATCTGTGGTGTTGTTGTTTCCCATACAAAATTGGAAAACGACGCCGTCTACATTTTGTCACACTCAAAGGTATGTTTTTTACGCGTCTACATTTTGCAACCTCGCAGCAGGGTTGAATTATGGCAATACTAATCGCATTTTTTTATTTATTGGGCACGTTTTCTATATTTGCATTTAATTTGAGCGCAATTTCTGATGAAAAGAAACAAATCAAGGAAAAGAAATAACAAATATTAGGAATTGGTAATTAAGTTAAATAATTACAATTTTTCAGTAACAAAATCGAAAGGCGACATATAAAAAAGCACGCAAAGAAGAAATGTCTGGCAACACCGGCAAAGTTTTGAGACGATTTTGCGACGACTGCTAGAAAGGGGTGCTCACAGTTCGTTCCAAATTGTGTCTGAAAATGTAGACGTCTACATTTTCAGACACAATTTGGAACGAACTGTGAACACCCCAATTGTGTGAAATAGCCAGAACAACCGCAGTGATGTGAAGTCGATGTTTATCGAAAGCATGCTGTGAAACATACAAATAGTAGATATCTAAATGTTATGCACAAATTTACTTTAAAAGAACTAGCGTGAAACTGACTTATTATTTGAGAATTTATCTAAATTATTCCAATTATAAAATTGTGATGTAGCTTTATTCGAATTGTAATACGCATTTAATATCATCTTCCGAATAAAACGGATCGATGTTTGTAAATTTTAGTTGGAGATTATTCAATATTATCAAAGTCACCCTCTACCAACTTAATTTTTACATATTTCGTCTGTTTTCCCTTAATTTGATAAAATACTTCTTCCTAGTTACGACTTAGTTGCCGCTGCAGCCGAAACTAAATTTTAAGTTGGTACTTAGCCAGAAAAGTCGAAACTAAGGCGACTATGAATAGCTTTAGTTGTGACTCAGAATAGTTTCGACTTAGTTGAGTACTAAATATGACCATGAATATGCGCCAATGTTATTAACAGCTCAACCTAATATTACCGGCGAGAGTTTTTTTACGCACGCACGCAAGTTTTTCTCATTTGATAAACCGAAATCAATTTGCGTGCGTGTTTTCTCAGAGTTGCATTTCTGTCAAATTTAGAGAAGTTTGCTGAGAAAAATTTGAATCCATAGTCGCGCCAAAATGCCAATTGAGCATAAACCTCAAATCGAAATGTCACGCAAGACAAATCTTGGAATTTGAGTTAGCTTTTTACGCACGCATATAAGGTTGGCCTGTAATAATTCTTCCCGATATAAATTGGGCTTTAAAGAGCAGATAGTTAGGATTGCATGCGGTGGGATTTGAACCCGCGGCCTCGGTGTTTTAAGTCAACATCTCAATATCTACGTTTTGAAATAATAATAAAGTCCGGCGCTATAAAATATGTTAGTGTTTGGCCGAACTTCTCCTCCGGTTTGTCGAGTGCGCCTTAATGTTGTGGCACAAAGGCTGCTGCAAGCTGTTTTTCATTTTCAAGAACGAGTTAAAACTTCCAAAACAGTTCACTTTACAGCGAAAAACGTGTTTTAATTTTGCTAAACGCGAAAATATTGCACTTTTCACCTAATCTATTAGAGAATAGGTAACATTTTAGTGCACTCCATTGCTTTGCAATTACGACTGCGGCAGCATCTCCGCGAGATTGATTAGTTAATTTGCTAATGGAGGCTGCTTGGAGCAGAAGCAAACTCATTGTGAGGAAATGCTGTTAATGTAATAATAATAAAGAAACATTTCGGAAACGGGTTTGCCGTGCCCTATGTACACAAAATGCAGCGATTCGTCCCAGCGCTACACTTGCATCTACGCATCTTGCATCTTGACGGTTGTCGCAATTTAACACACAGCACTTCATTTTGTTAGTTTTTACGCAGTCTTCAACTCAAAAATCACTCTCTTTCGCTGATTTGTAAACAAAGGTTTGTTTACAAGTTACCACAACTGTCAAAATCGGCAAAACCAAAGTAGCGGTACCACTGACGGCGCCACCTCTGTTCGCTGCATCGTGATGCGAGACCTATATTCAGATAAATTTTTTGGTTTCTGGTATCGATATCTGGAATATCGAGTCTTTTTATTCCAATATTAATGGGTACCCGATATTTTTAAAGCGATGCTTCAAATGAGTACCATATCGATACTTTCGATTCGATATCGAGTCCCTAACTAGAAATGGACCGATTCGAGTAAATACAAGTTGCGATCCCGTACGAGTCCGGACTAGTCAGAAATAATCAGAATCAGTCGATTTTACTGGAAATCGATCCCGTACTCGGTTCTCTGACTATTGAGAGGACAAAAAAGAAAGCAAATACGGTTCTCTCTCTGTCAGAAGTTACAAGTTTTAGTCCGAGAATTTTTTGCTGGTAAATTCTGCTAAATATGTCAAACGGTCAGCTGTAGTGTGTTTGGCAACCGAATTGTAAACAAAAGAAAAGTGCACTCTGCTAATTCATGCTGAAAAGTATTTAATTACTTGTTTAAGTGAATTCTAATGAATTTGAAAGTATTTTTGTATTAGAGTCACTGTCTCAAATAGAAATGCACACAATTTCTGCTTTCTGATAGTTTATGTACACATGTATGTTGTCACTCATTTTACGAATCAGAGTTAGCAGGAAAAAAAGAAACAACAGCTATGGAAACGACCAGAGAACGTAGAAAAAACGCGTCCACGAGAGTTCAATAGAAAGTATTTTTGGTTATTTACATGTGTGAGCTGAGTGTGTTTACATACAAAATAAGCAAGTATTTTATGTTGAAGTTGACAGAAGTTACCATGTTTTACTAGAAAGCGATCCCGTACTTTTCAATGTTACTCTCTCGCTCTGAGTGAGTTTTTATTTTTTGACAGTTTTAATAGTCCGAGTCCGAGCAATACGGGATTGCACCTACAAGTACGTACTCGTTACTTTTCGTTCGATACCAAGTAATTTTGGCATCGATACTTTTGAACTACCCTGCATAAAACGGCTGACCATATGGAAAACAAACTATCGATTGTACGCTCGCATACATATGTACATACACACATATATCAAACAAAATTTTACTTTGTTGATAGCTGTGGTGCAAAATAGAGAAGAAGTCGGTGAATTTAAAGAAAGAAATAATACAAATTAGTGTTATCAATTTGTATATAAAAAAATTTGCAAAAAACCTTTTTTAGCGCTATGTGGATAGAGAAAAAATTTGAGGCCAGTGTGCTTAGGCCGACTGTGGAGTCAGTGACTAC